CATGACGTGTTTACATGTCATATGCTATTACATTATGACTGCTATAGTTGTCACCATCACCAAGGGGTTAAGCTTTTTATATGTTTCCCATATTTATATATTTTTATCTCTTACTAAATGTATGAATGGCACACACACAAAGAAGTTCTACCTCTAGTGGCAGATGATAAGTAATTTACTGTATGATGTAGAGCATCTTCTACCAAGGAATGAATGAAAACATCCCAGGACAAAGATAAATGTCTATAAATAAAATACTACACACTGCAAGAAATTTCGGTGGGCATACTGAGCTCCTCCATTTTGTTAGTAAATATAGGGACAAATTTGCTTACTTTATTGGCAAATTATAGCAGTGGCACAACTCCCAATAAAAGTAATTTGTTATGCCCCTGCTGCTGCATATACACTGAAGTCTTACAGATGGCCAAGGGAAAGTGAGGACCTTCTACATTAAGTACTTTTTAGAGTGTGGGCCTTTGCTTTTGCCTTCATCTGCAACAGATGATATCTACCTGAAACTTACTCTTATTACAAATCTATAATCATTCAGTTATACGTTTCTACATCTTTTATTCTGTTATTATCATAGCAACAGAGTACTTTCAGCATAGAATGGTACCCCTATTTCTCACCATGTACACTGGTACTACTTAAAGAAATAAAAACAAAGATAAAAACTAAAACATTATCACTTACCAGGCTGGTGACACAGAGAAAACACAATGTCACCAATCCCAGCTGTCTTCAAGCAATTCTCTGCCTGTGCAGTAGCAAGCTTGCCAGAATGGTTCATGAAACTGGAACAGCCAATATTGGAGGAAGAGGAGGGTGTAGGAGAGGATGTGGTAGGAGAAGATGGAGTGCAGCATTTAGGTTGTCTGGCACGACATGTAAAGTAAGAAGGAGGTGGGGTAGGCATCGGGAAGTAGCAGAGACTGGAGCATCTAGAATTAGACAGGAAAAGGAATTTGACTAGAGGAGAGGGGGAAGAGAGGTAGGATGGTTCTGGGTAAGAGAAAGAGATTCTGTGGGAGATGCTGAGACATCCTGAGAAAATGGGAAGGGAGCACAGCAAAGATTTTTTTTTTAATAGTTATGCAGGCGACGCATGTGCAGATTCCTGGACTGGCCTGTGTACCGATTTTGATACCACCCTAAAACCGGGATTATTGGCTTCCAAATGGACCGCCACTTGTGGGTTAAGAGAGAAGTGATGATGGACAGAAATAGGTTTGTTAGTGAGGTCAGTCGGGGTAGATAGTGCATGAGCTCGGGACTCAGATGTAACTATGACAACGTGTGAACAAACAGAACAAATGCAAAAGGAAACTTGTTTTTGGAGACATTGTTGGAAGAGAAGGGTATTGTCAAAGGAATGGGCTGTAGGGGGAATCACAACGAATTAATCCCAATGTAGAGGTGGAAGCAGTAGAAGGATGAGGGCGAGAAGATGGGGTAGCGTGGAGCGAGGTAGTATTGTGGGGAGGAGGAGGGTGAAAGGTAGTAATAAGGGGGAAAGTAGACAATGAAGACTGCACATATGAGATAGAGTGCCCCTACTGAGGGTAAAAAATCTTCATTATTGGCCATGGTGAGCCATGGTTAAGGGCTGGGCTATTATCCAAGGGTATATCATGCCCATGGCTCCAAGAGGCAGCTCACAACTGACACAAAGCATAGCCTTTCATTTTTTCAGCATGGCTCTCACACCTAAGGAAATGGAGAGAAGGGGATGAAGAAGAGAAAGAAAAGGGAAGGGGGAGAATAAAACTCCATACAAAATTAGAACGAGGGTGAGGTCCAAGGCAGGGGTGATCACTATATTGGGCCTCATTCACTGTCTCCTTAGCTCCCCCATGACAACAATAAGCAAGATTTTTTTTTTCTCTCTTTTATTTTCAAGTGTAATGTCTTAACATTTAGATGGCTTTACTAACAGTAGGCTTGGCTTATATATACACATACCATCCCTGTTGCCAATGGGTTATGCAGTCAGCACATAATGATAGAGCTGCTCTCTGTTCTTTCCTTTTGTTACCAACTACTGATAATCAGCAACTTTCTGAGCATCTTTTACTAGACACACAAAATATATTCACCCAAAATTATGCAAACCTTTTTCATTTGCTGCCCCCTGGCAAACTTTCAGCTCATCTTCCTCACTTCAGAGCTCCCACTCATTGAGCAGACTTTGAAAGCTGAAGTCATCCTTGATACCCAAACTTGTCCCTACAACCAGTTCAGCAGTAGCAGCCAGCTCAGCACCTGCCATAACCAAGCTTACCACAGCAGTTTGTCAACTCTAGCTTTAGATTATCCATAATATTCCAGAGCCAAAACATGGTTCTACACTAACTCATGGAGAATGAAGTACGGTACATATAACCAGGTAGCTCCACTTCCATTTAGCCTGTTGAACCCAAAATGAAATTTACTTTTCCCAACAGGAAGAAAATCTTCACTATCAAAAATAAAGGGGGGTTCAGTTTTACTTCTGGTTATTATAATAATATTGAGTAAAATATACAACCAATTATGTTACTAGTTATATCTGATATCTCACAAAGCACACTCATTGGTTAAACGTGATGACGTCATCAGCTTTACCCCATTTTTAATCCAGTTAGTCTGTGTTTTTTATTTTATTTTTTATTTATTTATTTTTTTATTTTATTTTTTTTTTGAAAGTGGCTCTGTAATAACAATGGTAAAAAAATATCCAAAACAAAACCAACAAATAATGAAATTAAAGAAATTTATAATATTGGTAATGAATGAAGTCAAAGAGCAGGCTTTTCATCAATGTTAAATTACCTCATAATCAATGTTAAATTACCTTGGAATGAAGCTACAAAGGCCACCACAATACCATGTAATGGTAGGTACTATCACCTTAACGGTCGAGTTTTTGATGGGTTGCTCAGCCGATTTCTTTATTTGCTGGGGAGGCTTTTGAACTTTGTGAATGAAGGCTATAAACCACCTACTAGGCCGACCTCCTACTACACTTCTAGGTTTGGCACTCAGGCCTACAAGTGAAAACCTTCCTGCTTCTGACAAAGAAATGCCCCTCTATGTCTAAGATATCTCCTCTTGTCTAGGTTTTCTCATTAACCTAGGTTTATAACTATGATTCATCCTAGCCTCATCCAAGAACAGGCACCTACCCACCTTGTGCACACTTGAAGCAGCAAACATCTCATTCATCAATAATTAGCATCCACCTTGGAGCTGGCACTCTTCCAGTCATGGCTCACAGACACTACAATCCATACTCATTTATCAATGGGAATAATGTAAAAGCTCCTAAATGCCAAATGAGTCTGAATCACCCTCCAAGAGATTTGTGCACTGGTAGTGAGTCCTGGCCTGGCCTTCAGCTGAAACACTTATGATGACAAGTTTATGTCATCTGGCCTCCAGACAGATTTTCCCATAACAGCTTGTTGTCTTCACTCACCCCTTAAGCCAGATTTTTTCATGGAATGATGGTCATGTCATCTGGATCAAAAGGATTAAGGGGGCCATTTCCGTATATTTTTGACAAATAAGTTTTTAAATACTTGAAAAAAAAAAAAAAATTCTTGTGTAATCTTTGGCAACCCACGTTGGCTTTGGCAACCCACTGACGTAATATTTCTGCAAAATACATAAGAATAAGAGTTATGGCTAAATATCTGACCCTTGCCCCCCCGCCCCCCACCTCCCGCTCCGATATTTACTTTGTTGTATCCGTGCAAAAATACTCGGCATAATTTTTGTTTTTTTTTTCCATATTTTTTCGATTCATTTTGGTATTCTCTGGTAGCTAGCTGGCAACTCTGCTTACCCATCAGCTGACCGCCAAGACTGGGACTCTGGGAGACAAGATGTTGCCACTCTAGGAGACAAAATGTTACCAGCTCCTACCTCCACCGCACATCTTGCAGACGTATGCCCTCATCATACAGTAAGGTGACACAACTAATGGTAGATGTTATTTTTGTATCTAATAAACATTATATGATAATAATGCTCAATCACAGCTACAGCAGTTATTCATACTTATGAAATACCTCACATGGTCAGGTTAAGCACTGCAACGCCTGGATGACACGCGCTACTTCTAAAATCATGTGCAGTTATTACCATTAGTCCTTTGCAAAAGGGGGGGACCACGGACCAGCTACACCTCAGAATAACATGTGAATGCCATAGAATGTAGCAAGATTGATGTAGAGATAAGAATTAAAAAAAAAGGGAAACAAAACAAAACAAAAAAAAAATTAGGGAAAAGTATCCTGGACTTTGGAGCCCGATATCTCAAAACTACACCTTTGTCACTTTGACGATTCTAATGTACTCTGGGTTATTTGAAAGCTGAATAAATTTGTGATTTTTCATATTTGAGGATAATAGAAGATAATAAGTTCTTAAGACTGAGCATTTAGAAAAAAAATAAATTCCCACTAAACTAAAAGGCAATTCAAAAATCCTTCTATTAGAGATTTTAGGCATTGCTATAGAGTATATGTGGTATTTTTTTCAACAAGTTTGGTTAATGGATAAAGTGCGAATATCAAATTTTGTGATTTTTCAAAAACCCGAGTTTTTTCAAAATAACTTTGTTGTTTATTATTCAAATTATAGGAAACTTTGCGGTGTTTATCACCATATTTGCATATATATCATATTAAAAAATTGCGAAAATCCGATCATTAATGACAAACTTCGTTCTCAAGCGCAACAGCCCCCTTTAAGAGATAAAGAGATAAAGACTGTAGCATGTTACATAACACAATACCCACAGATTACTGACCAGTTTCTCAATTGTGAACAACAGTGGATCCAGAATGGCTTTGATCAGCTGTAGTATAAACAAATTAAATAACTTTATATAATAAACATGTACACATACAATGAGGAAGCTATTCCTTTCCTTGATCACTAAAATTAGTTCCACATATATCTTATTCTTTACAACTTTGTGGTCACACATAAATAAAGGGTATTTGTAA